ATAGCTCTCCCATATTAATTCCTAACAAGTCTTAGAATTAATTAAAATTTGTGTAGATGCAGAGGTGCCTCTACATGAAGCGATTTTCAATTACAGAAATAACGTTTTATTTCTAAAACTGAAGAAGTAGGAGGAAATCTACCCTGTTACACAAATTGCTTTTGCAGATATAGCTCTCCCATATTAATTCCTAACAAGTCTTAGAATTAATTAAAATTTGTGTAGATGCAGAGGTGCCTCTACATGAAGCGATTTTCAGTTACAGAAATAACGTTTTATTTCTAAAACTGAAGAGAGAGTCATTTTAAAGGTGTCTAAATCTGTAGTTACTCTTCCTCTCACCCCAGCCCCCTTAAAATGTACATGCAATCATGTGCACACACAAGACATTCAAATCCATGGGCTAGTAGTTTCCATGTGCTCTACTGGATTCCAATTATTCACTCACATACAATGAAAGACAGAAGATTCTGAAGCAGCCAGTAGCCAAACTACACAAACTGTAGCATTTTAAACTGCACTAAAAACAGATAATGTGGGAGAAATGTACTTGGTGAGGGAGGAAGGAATGGGACCAGGGAGGGTAAGCCAGCACAAATGAAGCCTGTTTCCAGAATGGATCACTTTTTTCTCTTTAGGAAAGGCATTCCAGGTCCCAGGTTCTCTAGATAGCCGGGTGACCATAGTCATACATAAATGAAACAGACATAATCTCTATCTACCTACCTACCTGGCTGGGAAAATTTATCTACTGTGTGTTTTCATGAGGAATATATCACAGGTTTGCTTTTTAAATTAAAAATTGCACAAGAAAACAAAATTAATTTGCATATTATGGCCATCTTTTATGGATAACTTGACTTAGCAAACAAAAAAGTATGGTTCTTGAATTTCAATACTGTACCAGGAACAAGAGCTATGACAGAGCACATAAACCACAGCTTTAGAGTCTTACCCCTATTTAAGATAGTTTCTTTCAGTAGGAGCTAAGGGGTTGATAAAAGTCCATTTCGATTTTCTGTCACAAGAAATGTTCAGTGTCACGGAGGTCTGGAATGGATGTTGAGAGCTCCTACAGTTGCTCTTTTGCAGAGAGCAGAGCTACGCAGAGTGACAACAACCTACCACAAAGTCAAGAACATACTGAAAAATTGGAGTCTACTTCTGGATTAAATTAGCCTCATAGCAGCAAATGCTGATAAAAGCAACATGGCTTGTAAAGGCAAGTAATGTTCAATGCATTCTGTCCCTTTTTATTGGAAGAAGAGACTAAAGTCAAAATATCTATATATACACTGGTACAAGACCAAGAAGTTCAAAACATTTCCACCATCATTCTGACAGTTTTAGGAATTTACTTTCAGCTCTCGCACTACAAATCCATCAACACGTTTTGCTTTAAGTGGCAGACTGAGGAAAGAGGCCAGAATCTTCCCTAGCTGACAGCTAATTAAACTGCAGTTTTTATGCTCAAGAAAGTTCTTCCCAGATCAGGGCTGAGACACACTAGAAGAATAGCATATGAATAACACCACTTGTGACCAAGCAAAAGCCATAACCAGCCTTCCTTCAGAAGGATTGCATACATACATTTTGATGTAACAGTGCTCGATGGCCCTTCCTTGAATTTCTGATTCTCAGTAACCATAAGCTCCTACACCGAAGACGACAAAGTCAAGGGATCTTATGAAGATGTATCAACACAAAATGAGCTTACATCTGCAACACTATGATCTATTGTGCTAACAAATGCTAGCATCTTTCAACCATGTTTGAAATAATACAGACATCTGAAACTTAATTCTACTTTGTGACCACTTTTTACTGTTGACCAGTAAAAATTTCTTATTTCCCTTTACTTCCCAAATAATTTGATTGGAGAATGATGTAGCAGTTTGCCACAATAACAGCAGCATTTTCTTCACTGCAGGCTGAGGCTGTTCAACACCCAGCTTTGCCGTCCATGTAGTGACGGATGTGCCTTGGTGAACTGCTGTGACCCTGCAATAGCTTGACATGCTACAGAGGCCGTCTGCTTCCCCTCCAGGAACATGGCAGGCAGTATTCAAGCTGAAGACACTCTTCCAGCAACAGCTAATTAAGGTCATATTGCTCACAAATGATTTCTGGACACCTATTATTTTACAGGCCTATTATGTGTCATCGCCTATACCAGAGTAAAAGTGTAATTAATGTATCAGCAGATCCTCACAACACTGTAGACTAACGACTGCTATGCAGCTTTCCAAGGCACAGAAACAAAAGAACAGATTTGCAGCCAGACACAAATGCTATGTTTTCCCTCCTTCTTAGTAAAGCAATGACAATCACAGAATCAGATTTTATGAGATTTTCCTTCTCTTCGAACATATGAAGATGGACTGCTGGAAATTGCTTGCACTTCTAAAATGCTATCCGAACACAGAAGCAGCAATCCAGCTACTATAATGCACGTAATTAGTGTGAGATAGTTAACCTTTACCGGAAATCAAGTGCTCTATCCATAGCAGCTATGGACATTGAACCTTACCATCCCTGATAACTCAGCTACAGATGCGTGTTTAGTAACCTCATTAATTAATTCCATCTCATGGTACAATTCTACTTGCTAGTGAACTGCCATATGCGATAAGGATGAACAGCTGATAATGTGGTATTTGACAAGACTGGACACCAGTATCATCAGTATTTGTGATTGAGAAAACAATCAAGAATTGTGTCTACTTAATGAAGACACTTAGCCACGCACGTTTCACATAAATCTTAATTGACAGCATGCAAAAGGATACACACAGGACATATATCCACCCAATCCACAGAAAACTTCTGTATTACATTCCCAGCTTTAATCATAAGCATGGTATTTTCCTCCTTGCAGATGCTGTCATGGCCAATTTTAGGTAAAAGCACTGCTAGTGCTTTTAGACCCTGCATTCATGTACGCTTAGCAGTATGGCTGCTATATTTATCTTTAAACCATTTAATTTTTTCATTTTAGACATAATATAATTAAGCAGCAGTCACGGAAAGTGTCAGTTATTGCAAATCTTCAAACAGAAATAAACACTTCAAGGGGAACAAAAGTGCAAATCTTTTTTTTTTTTTTTTTAATTTTGAGTCTTACAAAAACTACAAAAGTAGATAAAATATAAATTGCCATCTATTGGGAAAGATGACAAAAATGAGATGTGAGAGGTACTATTACTTGCCAAGACTGCAAAATTCAAGTTTTTCAAACCAAAATATATTCTAGTTGTCAGATGTACAAAATGGCAAGGTAGAAAATTTTCAAAGAAAAAAAAAAAATCATTCACCTCCATATAGGGGGAAAAAAAAAAAAAGCTGAAAAACTTTTAGTTTCATCTATATCTAGATTCAGACGAATTATGGAAGCTTCACTCCAAAACGAAATTTTTGCAAAAGGCAAGGAAAACCAGATACGATCATTCCAAAGACACACATCATAACTACCTATGTCACACCTTAAAAATGTATTAATTATGATTTTTTTTAATTTATTTTTAAATGTTTAACACACAACCTCATATTTGCCTTGGCATGGCATCTTACAATTATTTTAACAAAGATCTAAGTCCCAGATACCACTACATATAAGACTGGAAAATCAGCACAGACTACTTATGCCCAAAAAGAGCTGCAAAAAAGTGTTTTTTTTTTTTTTTAATTGGTTTGAAAGAGGAAGACCCATTAATTAACATTACCAAAAGATTACAAGGAGGAATTATTCATTTACTTTTCATTGCAACATTATTGCATATAAATTCTACTGTTTCATTGCCCGGCTTTATCGCCTAACATTAATAAATGCCACATGGCATCAAAAATAAGTGATGTATTAAAGCAATGGATTCAGGAATGTACAATATGTACTCTAAAATTAAGAAATACACTGTCAGTTATTAATTCCCAGAAATAGTTCATCACAACATAAAAATAGCTGCAAGAAATATATATTAAAATGCAGTGATTCTTCCTTTAGGGATGCAAAAAAGTGTTTTAAAAAAAAAAAGAAAAAAAACAAACATCTTTAAAGCAATAAAAAGACTAAAACTTTCCTTCAGTGTGAAAGACACTGTGGAGTATGACTTTACCTGGAGGATAAGAAAAATACAGAGGAAAAAGCATGTGAATTACTGACTATAGTCAGTGGTGGTATTCTTGAAAGCTTCATTAGTAGTTGTGCATCTGAATATATCTATAAAAGGGACAATGCATCACCGATAATCACCCTTTTCAACACATTTTAACCCTCTGCTACTAATATATAGTTCTCTAGACCACACCCTTCCTTCCTGCACTGAAAAGATGATTGAATTCTATCTGCATTGTGACAGAAAATAGAAAGAAAAATTGAATTGGCTTATACAGTACAACTACGTATTAGTCAAGTATCAGTGATTCTTCAATTTTATTACTCTAGGTGTAACAGAAAACAGATCAACTCCTACCCCATATGCACACCATCATGAAAAGAGCTTTCAAATGAGGAAAGTAATAGCTTCATATTTCCTTGCTAAAGCATAGCCCCAAAAAATTCATGGGCATGAGGAAAACATTGGCTAAAAGTCTATTTAAATTTTGTTCAAAACCACAAATATGAAAAATATTCTCAGCTTGCTTTTCCCAGACAAACTGTGAATAAATACACTTTTCTCAATTGAGGAAGGATGGTAGCAGCAGATAGGCTCTCCATTACTCTGTCCTTTTTTTCTTTAATTTACTTTTACTATATATTTTTCTATCTTCAGTATGCCTAGAGAGGTTCTTTCAACAAATGACTTTAATGCATTAGTTTAGCTTTTATTTTCTTTCTACTGCTTCACTGCCCTGTTAAGTGACTCGGCAGTTTCTCATTCAACATTCACCAAGGGCAACTAAAGACAAAAAAAAAAAAAAAAAAAAAAAAAAAAAAACACAGACACTCACAACAGACACCCACATTTTTTTGTACCAGAAGATCTTTTCAGCATGTCACTTACCACCCAGGGTTTGTCACAGAAGTTATAGATTGATTCCAGGGAGTTGACACTGGGGATGCCTGCATACTGCATTCCAATGATCAAGTTGCGGAAGTCTTCATTTTCTGCCATACTGAATGAATGTTGCCGAATGAGGACAAAATCAGGCCTGAATGATCTGGCAGGAAAAAGATACATTGCTATTAATCAGTGATCAAATTATTCTTCTTTCGAAGTAAAATCTTAAAGGGACAAGATGACTAGCACTTAAAGAATACTCAAAACAAACGTAAACGCTGAAAGACAGAAAAAAGTATTAAGAGCTTTATGAAAAACTCTCCATTATTTCTTAATGTTCAGAAAACATCAGCATATAGTAAATAATGTCTCCAGTAATATGACAGGCAGATTATCATGGCTTTTCATTCTGTTTCCCCACTGAAAAATAATTCACTTGTCTAAATCCTGCATATGTTCTTAGTTTGTTATGTACACCAGTCCCCAAACAACGGTAACAAAAAAGAAAATGAAACAGGCAAATGTCTCTGAACTTAAGCAAGTGCTAAGGTCTGGCTTTTAAAAAAGAATGTTTCTTCCACTGTGCACCTTTGAGAACCATGTGGCTCCATGTTCATCTTACTTAAAAACTGACAGTTACTGAAGATGGTTATGGAAAATAGAAGAGTGGGGCAATGGAACAGAATCCACAATACAGGGGCAGGTCAAAAATTCTCTTCTGTATTGAAATTTTGTATGTTGGATTGATAGCCTGAAGCCATCAATCTCCTGAAAAAAGTGAAGAGTAAATTAAATTAGTGTAATAAATCAGTATACATTATTTTCATGCTGTTAATAAATATGAGCTGTATACTGGAGTAAGGAATTTCTTTTAGAAACCTCTCCAGGAAAATAAGACAAGAAAAACAACGATGAAAACTCATTTGTCTTTCTTATGCAGTTTTGAATTTTTTAGTCTGGATGCAGTAGTTAGAGTATCAGTTTTTCAAGTGTAATCCATAATTTGGCATAAGCAACATTATAAAAATTTGCAGTCAGTAGTCATTAAATGCCGCTATAAACTGGATGACAAAGTTTTCATAAAAGATTTGCTGTACAATTCTGAGAATTCGAGATGTAGGTTTCAGAGGAGAGAGACAGGTGCGTGAAACATAAGGAAAGTGAATTTACTGATACAGCATGAGTATAATAGTTAAGGAACTAAGGACAACTTACAAAAAATGGCAGATCCCTCAGTAAAACAGGGAGACTTCACCTCTGTCTTAAAATAGCTCTAAAGGGATTACAGATCATCTCAGACGTGGCACTGTGTTCTTAAATAAAGGAAATTGGCAGGAAGCATCCTTTCGAAAGCATATTTAATGAACCAACTGGGAAAAAAGGAACATGCCTTTAAAAATATACACATACACACACACATTCTGCTTTGCAAAAATTCCTCAAAGGAATGTAAGGTATTTACATAATTGATAATGTGAGTTTTAGTCCTGAAATTACTCCAGGACAAAGTGATTATGTATACAGAGGAATACATAAGAAAAAAACATAATCCTGGCTTAAAAATTTAAAGCATCCAAAACCTCCACATTTGTTAACAAGAGATTTCACTTTCCATGGTCTGACTTGAATTTGCACACACACAAAAAAATAAAACAAGTATTTGGCCTATTATAACATTTTTTCCTAACTAAAGATAGCACAACTGTGTCATGTAAATGCATACACATGTGTTGATAATTATATTCTCAAACATCTATAGTACGTGGTCACTTTAGACCCCATATCAATACAACACAAGCATCTTTCAGCTCAATATTCTGAGATTTAAGCCTTGTTAGTAATATGTTTAGTCCAGAATCAATATGAATTTTGGTACCTGTAGGACCAAAAGCTTCTCCAATCTCTCTTGGCAGTTAAAAGGGGAAGAAAGAACACAGCATGCCATACGGCCTATTGTCTTAACCATATTTCACACTGGCTTTTAAAAGAAGTTGCTTACCAACTGAACATGTTAGTAATGTCCTTCAGTAGCTCTGCTTCCCTTAGTGACACAAGAACCACATTCCAAGCTTCAGGCAATAAGCTTCACAAACTGACTGACTAGGCTCAAAGCAAAATAAAGATTAGCACTTATCTGAAGACACAGGACATTTTTGAAAAATACTTTTACTTTTCAAAACTGTTCTAGATATTCAGATAAGATACTTAACAGACAGAGAACTGCTGTCCCCTCATGTCTGCATATCCTTCTCAAACCAGACAGCATGCATATGCAGATATTTCACACAGAATGAGTGAAATCGTTAAATTTCAGGTCATTCTAGTTGGTTAAATATATTTATATTATTCATAAAATTGAAAATAATAAAATCTCTGCTAACCTATTAGACTTTTTTGTGAGATCAGACTTGTCTGTTTCTTAATATGAACAGCAGCTTTAGTTTTTTTCATAAAGGGGAAAAGATATGTCCTTTTAGATGTTGTTTTCTTGAGGTTTCCAGCATCAAAACATTTGGTGAAAGCTAACTTGGCAAGAATGTTTTTGTTTGGAAAATTCTCTACAGAAAAGCTAGTAAACAAGCAGTGATCAAATTTGCTAAATCTAAAACTTTATATGCTGAGAAAAAAAATACAATTTCTTACTCTACTAAGTAAATAATCACGTGGACTTGGCTGCTGTATTAAGATGCAGTACTTTTAGAACACAGAAGAGATGAAACATTTGCGAGTTTTAAAGCATAAAATACTTTTACAATATTTTTCTTTCTGATCTTTCACATATACCAACAGAAATCTTAAAATCTGTTATTTGAAAACATTTGAGCAAAATCATGAAGGTACAACTGCCATGTTCTTTAGCTCCCTGAACCTTTATTCTTGCCTAGACAAGACAAATACGAGCAGTAAAACATCAAGTCACTGTTAATGGCTCCATTCACCTCTCTAAATGCAATTATTCAGCTAAAAAAGCACTGCATTTAAACTATACTTAACTGCACTAAAAAAAATAGGAACAATTCCCATAAATTAAGTATAGGTCTACCTGAAATATTCTTTCTAATACTTACTTAAGCTTTTACTTTGCCAAGATGTACTTCTGTTTTCTTTCCTTACATTTATAGGGTTGTTCATGTTCTTGCTGAAAAAAATGGTAAAAATTACCCTGCCTTCAGTTGGAATAATCCTTATTTGGATAAAATAGCCCACTGGGGAATCTCAAGCTTTTAAATTGAAAACTTTCAATCAGATACCAAATTGCAGTAGCTACACTGTGATAAGCAGTATCACTTGTCCTCTTTCATTAAAAAACACTTAATTCAGATACTGCTCATCTAAAAAGCTCTGGCATGTAGAAAAATCACCAAGACTGCCAAAGCTTTGAAGCAAAGACGAGGCCGAAATCAGTAAGAAATGACCCCCAATCACATAATCTTTTTTACCAGGCCTCACTCACATTTTATTCAGATATATCTTCTCTAATGATAAAAGTGTCTAGATATTCCCTGTCACAAAGAGAACTAATTGTACTGATGAGATACTTCCTTTTATCCCTTTTATGCCAGTGACTGACGTGCACTGCATTAGCCAGTCAGACGTACAATACAATAACACAACTAAAGAGAAATCATTCAGTACATTTTACATCCACGCATTATAACACATACTATTTTTTGCTGTTATTCTATTCAGTTTTTCTTACCTGACAACTTTAGTGCCATTTCGAAATACTTGGATATCTACTGCATAATTGCCATCAGCATGGGCTATCAAGTTGATTTCTGAAAATTCTGCCTATAAAAAGAGAACTTGCATAAGTCAGCCTGTATTTCATCTTTATTTATCTAACCATCTTGTTTTAAGTCTTAGTATCCAAGCTGTTAACAATATATATTTGAAACATAATAAGCACCAAAAGCAAATTAATCCAGTATTATCTGGCACACATGAAACACCACACTTGGCAGCAATTCTAACATACAGAAAGGTTATAAACTTTATAAGAAGAGACAGCATGGGGGCAGTAATAAGAATATTTCCTCCTTCATGACTGCATAAAAGCATAGAGATTATACCTTTGCCTTATATAGTATGTCATAGGAGATTAACACAGACCTTCAAAAATTGCACCTTAAAATATAAAGAATATATTACAAAAGCGATCTTAAGGCAACTGTTGATAAAGCATTTTCTTATGATGGGTGGTAAACTGCTTTTTCTCACCTTCTCTTCACATACTTCCCCCATTTCTATTTCCTTTTTGTGCAATTACTCTCGATTATTAATAATCATGTGTAATGGAACAATTTGCAATAGAGTTCTTGTTTGGTTTGTGTTTGTTTTTAGGTATCTTCACATATTGGAAGTGTGACATGTAAAAGGATTCAATTTCATACCTTGACGCTCCAGTTATTTGAAAAAGGACAGGATGTTTTTCATTTATCCATACTCTTTCATCTACTTAAGACTCTCAAAGCACTTTACAATAACATTACACAGTAGAAAAATTGAAATGCAGCCAACTGTCCTCTTGTGGATAAACAAAAATCTTTGCTGTCACAGACACTGATGTAGAATAAAAATCAGAATTCTCTCTCCTTTCTTGTTGCAAAATGATGTTACTGAAAATCTTTTTTAGGTAAAATCTGTGCAAGACTTTCAGTATTTAGTGTTTAGCGAAGGCAAGTGCTGTGGTTTAAGTTTTAAAATGGGTTTGGTTTTTTTTTTTTTTTTTTTTTTTTTTTTTTTTAAAGTGTCATATAGTTTCCTGGCTCATGCTAAGCATCATAAAAATTGCAAGAGAATGAGATATCTGTATAGATACTGACAGTGATAAATCTTTCAGTTATTTAAGTGGACACTAACTACTGATCTCTCCAATTCATAAGCCATACAACTATAAGGCAATATAAATTTCACCATTTAAAAGTTTAATAGGTGAAAGGAAGTATTGTACGTTATAGGTATCACGCTCTAAGTACTAAAAAAACCCCTAAATGTTCTCTGATAAATGTTCTCTCTCTCTCTCTGAAGAGAACACTGAAGTAATTGCTAGTGACTATTTGTAGAGAATTGTCATGGTGTTGAAATTTTGCAAAGTAGTACTCCGAAACCTTCAGATCCTTACTGATGAAAGTAGATTCTTCCTACAAGAGACCACAGGAAAGAAATTCTGGACTTATTTTCTTTTTCTTTTTTTTTTCCTTCTTTTTTTTAAAGCATTAACGACACTCTCTATGATGTCAACCATGAGGTGTGTATCTACCATGTGTTTTGACCTATTTCTGTACATTGAGTCCAGAGAGCCTGTGTCCCTTTTCACCTTTCTCTCTCAATATTCTTGAAGAAACCTGCAAAGCGTTCCATGTTTCTAAATCAAAAACATGAGAAAAACATATTCCATTCTTTACACCATCGCCTAACTACATAGTTAAGTAAATATGACACTATTGCAATGAATTTAGATTAACTGGATCCACATAGTTAATGACAATTTTCACTCATTCTTAGAAGTTGCAAAGATAAAACATTCCAGTATAAGTAATGAAGCTTATGATTCAACGCTAACAAAAAATACTACCATTGCAACCAGAATGCATACATATTTTTCAATAAAAAATTACTAGAAATACAGAAAATGCAGTGCAATTCATCGTTTGCCTAGGAAATCTCTAGTCTATAAATACCTTTTGAACATATTTTCATGTTGCACAAACGGTTTTGTGAATCCCCTCAAAGAATGAAAATGAAAAATAACAACCAAACCTTTTCAGTATATAGGATTCTCTCTCAATACACACATGCATTTATATATAACATTAATACAAAGTCATTTAATTACCTGTTCAACTTTTATGTCATATTCTCCATGGACCTTCTTTCCACGGAAAGCCTTGGCCCTGAAGGTAAAAGGGCAGAGAGAAAATTAAGGACATGTATATCTAATCAGTAACTAGAATAAAGCTTCCTATGTGCCCATCTGTGTCTGGAAAATACACATGTATACTAGATGACTCTACGCATACATCAGAGGCACTGCAGGCTCAGTCACCAAATTTGAGTGCTTGATTTAAAACAAAGATATTGCCAATCTGTCAAAATTCAAAAACAGTCCACCTTTCATCTCTGAAAATGCTAATATATCTTTTGACACCACACAGCCCTATACTTTTTTACTAATCTATTTGCTTTTTCTAGGTTAAATTAAGACAACTTAACTGGAATAAGAATTTATCAACTATATCATGTACTGTGATAAAACGGTGATTCAAGAATCCTTCTCACAGGCCTGATAGAAGTAGATGTTGTCTTAGGAATCAGTTCTATATGTCTGCTTTGGACTTGGATAGAAATTCTAACGTCTTGTTACAAATACATATGAAAAAGACGTGGAAATCACTGTTTTACTACAGCAGACTCATACGCAGGACAATATGATTACATATTTTTTTCCTGTAATGTAAGCACAAGTGAAATATACTGTTTTACAATTCTAACTTAAATAAATACTATTTATCACTTAGTAGTTCTGAATTTGTTCTGAAATTACATACGGAGATTATGCAAATTCTCTCTTGAAAATTGAAGATGTCTATGCAAAATTTGAATTTTATACTGCTGTTTATGTTGGACCATTAGCTGGACCATGTTAGTAGGTGCAGGAAAGCCAAGGATATCCACATTACTCAGTCCACAGAGCCCACAGATAAGAGAGGAAAGCTTAGTTTCTAAAGATAAGACCTCTGGCTCAGTAGAAAAATAGCAAATTCATAACAGCAAACGGTTTACATTTTCTTAGAAAAATTAAGATTTGGCTTTCTGAAAAACATATTTAAAACCTTAACTCTGATGCCCATGTGTTTAACCACAATACTACTGTTGAATTTTCCTGAGAACATGATGAACTCCTAGATTTTTTTCTGATGCAACAACAGCTGGGGTAAATATACTACTGGGCATCATGTAAAGTAAATTTCATTTAAAGGAAAAGCATAGGCTTCATAATTCAAAAAGGTTACAGCTGACACTGAGATACAGAAAAAAAAGCTTAGGGTAGTAAGTTGAGTTTCTTGAATGATGAATAGTAACCTGACCGTATCTAGAGACTGAGATCCTTATAGTGCTTACTCTACAAAAAAACAAGAATGAGCATTTTTCACAGGAGGAAATGGAACTAGAAAGTCACAAAGAGCTAAAGAGACACTACAGTTCTTTAGAGTTAAGTCCATTCCACATATTGGAGCATGCTCAAAACATTAAGGTGAAACACAATCTCTTTAAACGTACTTTTATTTAAACATTGTTTGGATGAGGCAACTTCTAAACAGCTAAACTCTGGCATGGTTCAAATTTCAACAAATGACTTCAGCTTTCAAAACAAACACTAAGTACTGAAATTATGCCATGTGGAGCTTGAAAACAAACGTTAAACATGAAAGAACTAAAACATTTAAGAGACAGGTGAAACACAATCTCTTTAAACGTACTTTTATTTAAACATTGTTTGGATGAGGCAACTTCTAAACAGCTAAACTCTGGCATGGTTCAAATTTCAACAAATGACTTCAGCTTTCAAAACAAACACTAAGTACTGAAATTATGCCATGTGGAGCTTGAAAACAAACGTTAAACATGAAAGAACTAAAACATTTAAGAGACCTAATTTCAAATTGGCATTAACCTCCCTCCCATCTTTTTAAAAATGTATAGTATTCAATAACAGATACTCCCTGAGCCCTAAGCTACAAGAATTTACAGGGATTTGTCAAAAAATAACTTCATCGAAAATTGCAAGTCTCTCATTTCAAAACAGAATGTGAGAACGACTTAGCATGCATTTGCAGTGAAACAGAACCTACTCTGCATTTTACATAGAGTACACAGGTAATATAGTCATGGCTCACTTGAATTATTTCGTATTTGCAATATGAAAAGCAAACAAACCTATCCAAAATGTTTATTTCATACTTATATTACATTGCTTTATTGAGAGAAGATGAGGAGAAAAATGATCAGTGCTGTTCATTCACAGAAATTTACTTAAGGCCCAATAGGAATTTCAAAGTATATTATAATCAGGACAGAGCTTGGATACCCCCGCTGCAGCTTCCAGTGCATCTCCACAGAAAGAGAGCAGCACTTCCAATGACAGGATGTTTGGGCAGGGCATTGGAGAGCAGTGGAAGGCTGGCTGTCAGTGTGAGGAAGGTTGGCATGGGCAAGCATGCCCCAAATTAAGAAAAATCTGTCATTGCTTTTAATGTATCCACTTGTACTTGGGGAAGAGCAGGAGAGAAAATGGCACCAGTATTCGCATGAAATCCATTGGGTAAAACAGTAGCTTTCCAATGCCAAATGGACAGCTCCAATATCAGCACCTCTACTGGAGAAGTTCGCATGAAATCTTCTTACAATACTCTTTTCAAAGTACAATATTCATTTTTTTATTTCTTATTTCATTTCCCAGATAAAAACCTTGCACATTTAAAAGTAAACAACTGCACAAAATACAGTTGCCATAAATACAGCCAAATATGTTACTTATATCACTTTGGCAAGGACAAGGAATGAAGCAGTAAAGACTAAAATCATTTTGAATAAGTAAAAAAACTCCAAATTTCCCGCAACACACAAAATTGCATAGCAGCCATATAAATCTGCACTGTATGTTCTTATACTGTGAAATGGAGGATGTAAATACACAAAGCATTGACATAGCTACTGCTTCCAACTGGCAACAAATCACCTGCTAACATGCAATAGGTTTAACTCTTCAGTTTATATACTTAACTAACATGGCAATGCAGAGTTAATCTACAACAGCTTTTAATAAAGTCAAAAGCATGAATTCAGTGCACATATGGAGTCCAGTCCAGCAAGGCACTGCTGAATGCAGGATGACACAGACTTACAAATTTTGGCCTTCATAACTTAAAATGCAATCTGCACTTCTTGCTAATTTAGCCCAAGACTTTGTTTGACTTCAGTACAAAAGAATGTCATCAGGTGAACAGAATTTCCAATGCCAATCTTAATGTCTAGGCACTTCTGCACTGTGAATTTATTATGGTTCATATTAACAAGCACACTGCCCCAAAAGAATTAGAGTGCCTATTTACTACAACTGGACAAAGTTTGTTCATCAGTCAGAACAGTAGCACCCTCTAGGGTACACAGACTGCAGCCTCTCAATGTATACAAACAGCTAGCATAATTTGCTTCAAGCAAGATAATGCATGTATGTGTGTGTACATATATATATATGCTCAAATAACTGGGTTACTAGAAATACTATATAGATGTAAAGATTTTGGCAGACTACTGCCACAACTCAGGCCAGATTTCCATGAACTAAGCCTGGATCACTAGCCTCAGTCACAGACTAGAAAACGTTTCAGGAATAACAAATCACTCTTCACATTCAAATCTGGTTAGAAAAAATATTTAATTCAAATAGATTAAAGACATAACTTTAGGTTTCTAGCCTCTACCAGCAATAGTATGATTTGCATGTGCTGCTCTAATTTCATGCTGGAGCAGACATGGTCCATATTTAGCAGTCAGCAGTATCAATTGATTTTATTAATTTAATGGAAATGTGGCTGTCTAACACGCTGACAACATCCCATGGGTCCTGTAGGTAACATGTCAACACAGTGTGCTAAAGGGCATGTCACACTAACAGGGCATGCTTGGCAACTGTTCCCTGAAAAAACATTGCACGATCTAGTGAAATTGCAAATTTTGGAACCAATGTTTCAATGATAAAAAGGGAGACATTCCAAACACATGATATCCAAGGCAGCTATTTCATTAATGTATTTGTTTTCAATACAGATTTCAAAAGAATCTCCCAAGGAAACAATGGATTAAAACCATGATCACAGAAGTCTCAAGAACCTAAAATGGAACAGCAAATGCTCTACTCTTCACTGCAAAAGTCTGTTTAATTTCTGCCCAGTGCTATCCTTAAGTGTATGTTCAAATTTAGCAGACTTTAATACACCTGAACTGTATGTGACAACTTTTAAGTTCAGGCAGGAAGATCCATACATGCACAAGCCCAGCCTACTGAAAACATGAAGACAGAGCTTATACCAATGTGCCAACTATGTTGTTCTCCCATCTCAAGCATTCACAAACCCACCTAAGCATCACCCAGACATTTATTAATGTACCATTTGGCCTATCTTAAAATCCTGAAGAAACATAGATTAGTCATATTTTGTCTAGACTATTATGCTGCACTCCTTGTATTGCCTTGGGAATAAACCAGGCAAAGGAAAATGAGAATATAAGCCCAATGCTCTGGGACAGCTCACATTTCCCTTATATCCTGCTGTTCTTAAGATTGTTCGCTATCAAGGCACTACAAACTGTAACTTTGAAAGTGCCACTGGTCTTTTTATCTGTGATCTGCTTTGCTAACATTTTGCATGCCCTTGTAGGGAATAAATGAAGTGTAAGCATGAAGAACCAGTCACACAAGCACACAGGACACTGAATATGTCACAATATTTTCCTTATGATGAAACAAATACTCCTTCATGAGACAGTCTGCCTTTTTGTCTCAAAATCCCACACCTCAGATTAGGCAATATTTTACATTTGCCACTACTTCTGTGCAAGATTTATAGCCACTACGTATTTGTTTTCTGGTTATTTTGCACATTAGGTGACAAACGAAATTATCTTTCAATTCCCTCACCACTGCAAGACCTCATACTTGAGGCAACACATTATAAGCTCTTCTAAATCTGCTTGACTCAGAATAAACAACTACTGCACTTTCCCATGGCTACGTTCTTAAAAATATTTTGTACTCATGAGATGAGCAAAAAGTCCCAACTTCTACACAGAAAAATATCACCAGCCAACTTAAGAAATACTACTGTTTTGA